CTCAGCATGGCTGGCTCAGGAATTCTGGGAGTTGGAAGTCCACGAGTCATAAAAGAGCCAAGGTTGCCTACCCCTGGTATAGGGTTTCCTGCCTGAGCAGGGGGTTGGGCTAGATGACCTCCGAGGTCCCTTCCAAATTATTATTATTATTATTAATTATTATTAATTATTATTATTATTATTATTATTATTATTATTACTATTAAGAGCACAGTGGCCTTCATAACTCTAAGTTGGCCACCCTGTCAAAATGAGCAATCAGGGGAGAAAGGCCTTAATAAGAGAGGTGACCAAGAACCTGATGGTCACCCTGACTGAGCTCCAGAGATCCTGTGTGGAGATGGGACAGAGTTCCAGAACAACAACCATCAATGCAGCCTCCACCAATCTGGGCTTTATGGCAGAGTGGCTAGCTAGACGGAAGCCTCTCCTCAGTGCAAAACACACGAAAGCCCACTTGGAGTTTGCAAAATGCACCTGAAGGACTCTCAGATGCAATTTAGAAGGCCAGATCCTGAAGTTGAAACTCAAGTACTTTGGCCGCCTAATGGGAAGGACGGAAGGACTCACTGGAGAAGAGCCTAATGCTGGGAAAGATTGAGGGCAATAGAAGAAGGGGACGACAGAGAATGAGGTGGCTGGATGGAGTCACTGAAGCAGTAGGCGTGAGTTTAAATGGACTCCAGAAGATGGTAGAGGACAGGAAGGCCTGGAGGAACATTATCCATGGGGTCGCGATGGGTCGGACACGACTTCGCAACTAACAACAACACAGACATTTCTAAAATTGTTTTCACTTTGTCATTATCGGGTACGGAGTATAGATCAGTGATGGCGAACCTTTTAGAGACTGAGTGCCCAAACTGCAACCCAAAACTCACTTATGCATCCTCGAGTGCCGGGTGGGTGTGGCCCATTGGCTGGGTGTGGCCCATTGTGTGGGTATGGCCACAGTGGTAACGGCAGACTGGGTGGGGCTAAAAAGTTCAATCAATCAATTCCAACTTTGCAAGATTTTTTTTTTCCCGCGAGAAGTTGAAATTGACTGATTGAACCTTTTCTATTTTTGCACATGGCGGCGGAGGCCTAAAGCGAAAAGGTTTTATAAAACCCAGCTGAATGCCTAGGACTGGGGCGACAGCGTGCGTGCCCAC